ACAGTAGATGGTCTGATCAACTGCTGCTATCCTGGCCCAATTCAGAATTTTGGGTAAGTCTATCCAGGGGAGCAATACTAGCCACCTAGTGGGATTCAAATGTAAGAGAAAGGTGAGGAATAAAAAATATAAAAATTCGGTACTCACCTGTTGGAGGTTTAGGAACGATTGTAAAATAGCAGTCAGAGGAGGTTTGTAGCCTACTGGAGATGATGAAGGTAGTGGGTGACAAAAGTGTGTGGGGTAGTCCACATGCCTGAACAGAGAATCTCCTCTAGCTGATGATGGTAGTGAGCTACCACGGAGTGCATAAGGTGACAAATCTCGTGCAAGGAGATACAAAACAGGCATCAACTATCCATCTCCAAGGAAGAGTAAGCAATGTGGATGAGTTGATAGATCCATCAGTTTAAGGCGAAGGGAGAAAGATCACGAGTGGAGTAGGGGTTGCAATGAATGAACAGATGGAGTCGGGAACTTTGAAAGGTACAATACAGGAGAGGTAACAATGAACAGTTTGGACCAGACACAGGAGCCTGTCCAGGTCATAATGTCCATATAGGTGGGAAATAGAGGGAAGGGAAATTGGGAAAGTGTGGAAATGCCTTCCCTTGCATCTGGTGTTTTAAGTAGGAAAGAACAGTTCAGGTAAAGAAGAATATATATGCTATGACAAAGAGTCCAAGAGAAGTCAATGACGTGAATGTCAGAATGACCACATGTGAGAAGCAGAAGGAAATAGGTTTTGAGAGAGAGGTGATAGAAAGAGTAAGAGGCAAGGGATTCAGAGGAATCGAGCATGAGAGTGTAAAGAACAAGTCCTATTCAAGAAACGGAATAGACACAGGGGGTCTATGTATGAGGAAGGAATGTAATAGTGTGGTAAAGACAGAGGAGGAAAAACATCATGAAAATGGGAAAGGCAGTAGGTAGAAGACATGCAATAGTAGAAACAGACAAGCCACAATAAAAAAGTCAGGTAAATGAGGAGAGGTGTTTCAAAGTGGGCCAGTTAGGGGGAAATGGTGGAGGGGAGACTAGTGATGATATGTCCACCATTTGTGTTGGTATACACAAGTTGTGTAGGAATAACAAGAATGGGAAAGAAAGTAAGCTACATGGGTTTCTGGAAAGTCCTGATTGACAGGCAATGGGCCTGATAAATTCCACATGTGAAGATGGAGGGAGGACACATCATAATGAAATATGGATGTGTGGGGTTATACAAGAAGGGATGATATGGGAAGAAGAGAGGGTTTGGTCGACAGAAAATGCAGAGTTGGGAACCAGGGTTAGGCTGGCAAGTATGGAGCAACCAACAGAATATGACACTGGATGTCCCAAACTAGAGCAAGTACTCTAGGTAGAAGGTGGATAGGATGGTAAGCATATAGAAAGAGATGAAACCAGTCCTGACTAATTAGTGAGGAACAGGGAACCAGAAAAGAGGAAACTTGGTGTTGAGTGGTGAGGCAAAAAACATCTATTTGAGTAGTGCCAAGTTGGGAATAAACCCAATGGAAATTCTCAGGATGAAGGGACCTTTTCATGAGAAGAACTCGATTTTGTTGTGAAAGATGGTCCACAATGATGTCTAAGGTTTGGAAGTAGAGGGTCTGAGAATGGGTGCCATCTCAATGGTTGATTTCAGACACCACCATGGAACTGTCTAAGTGGATCATAACTAAATGATACATCAGAAGGGGAGAAAATGGGGAAGAATTGGGATGCCAATGGTGGTGTTTGATTGGTCTAGCCACCAGGTGAGATCCCCCAGCAGATGGAGAGAAATAAGGATCAATGAGGACAGTGGATCCCTGTAGAGGTACATTGGTCATGCAGGGCCCACTCTAGGTGATGCATATTTGCATGACTGAGTGGAATGAGAGGTTACAGAGTAACCATAGTCCACAAAAGACATAATCCCCCACACAGTTGGAGTAAGAGAGACATGAATCATGGTGGCTAGATTCTTTAGGTCTACTAAGTGTGAAAGAGAGGGTCGGGCATGACTGAGATGAGTATTGAACAATATCCCATGGTAAATGAGATACTGGGTTGGGGTGAGGAAAGATTTGGAGAGCTTAATGAGCCAGCCAAAACGAGTGGTTTCAAGAAGGAGAAGAGTAGTGTGATCCAAGGATTCTTCCTGGGAACAGTCATCCATGTGAGAGTGTAACTGCAGTCTCAGAGCCAGTATATTACGAGTGAATGCCCACATGATTCGATTGAAAATATACGGGGCTAACGCTATGCTGAATGACGAGGCCCAAGACTGAAAGACATGGACGAACTGGAGATAATGTCGAGAAACTGAGACTATTGAAATGTGAAGAAATGCATCTGACACATCTGTCTTGGTCATCCATAGGCTAGGCTGGAAAGACCAATGGAGAGAGAAGAAATTCTCCATCCAACAATGGTAGATGACCAAATAATGATTGAGAGGTTGATGACTGTGTGCCAGTCCCCAGTCTCTTTGGGAACCACAAAAATTCGAGAATAATAACCCAGAGAAGGGTTCTAAACTCGTTATATGGTTTGCTTCTTCAACAGGTCAGAGACTGCCCCATCCAGATGTTGGAGGTAGTCTGGATCTGAGGGTCGAGGAAAGCTAGGAGTTGAGAATGAAGGGGAGGACTGGAAGAGAAGTGGAGGGCTAGTCTGTGAGACAATACCTAAATGAACCATCTATCTGCAGCAAAAAATTCCCACAAGTGAACAAACTGTGACAGACAGGCACTCATTAGGCCCAAGCCAGCAGGATAGTCACCAATGGTTGAAATTATATGGGGGCAATGGGTGGAAGGAGGAAGGCCTGGATACTGGAACAGTACGAGGTGGATGTGTTGGGTGAGGTCAAGCGACTGAAGAGGAGGATTAAGATTGGGTTAAGTGTAATACTAAAGAGGAGAGGGAAGATTGATAGCAAGCAAGGCTTCAGATCGTGATTCCAGAGAATCAGGTACACCCCCAAGTACCTTCTGATGGAGGAAGAGGGTAAAACGAAGTTACATAGAAAGAAGGAGGGTAGTCGTACATGAGAGAGTTGCGTATCTCTATACAGAAGGTCCCAATAACAAAGGAACCAAGTAAGAAGGGAAAGGGCAGAAGAGGTGGAATGGGCCACAGAAGAGAAAGAGAGGGTTCAGATATTCCCCATGAAGTCATCAGGGGAATGGTAGAGTGCCTCTGTCATGAGGTAAAGAGAGGAGAGGTATCTAAGGAGGGTGGTAAGGAAGGCACAAAGCCTGGAGAATTCGGCATTTGAGAGGGTAACAGTTGATAAAGAGTTTGTCCCCAAGCTGACAAAAGTGATTCCAAGGACTGGGTGTCCAGGAAGGGAAAAGAAGAATGACTGTATGTAAACATCAGGTAGGCATGGGGATATGGCATACGTTACGAGCGTGAAGTTGCTCTAAGAAGGAGGTAGCATGAACAGAAATATCAGTGGAGGGAGGAAAAATGAAGAAATCATGAGGTTGTGTGTAAATAATTGGAGAAAGGGAAAGAATAGCACATACTGCAAAATGAGTCCTCTGATGAAATGGGGTACCAAGGACAGAGCCACGGGGCAGAAAAAGATATTCCATTTTGTGCTTCTCAACTTCAGTTTCAAACTCATGAGAAGGAAACATGTGGCCAAAATAGAAGAGGAGGGTCCAGGTGACCCTACCACATGCTGGACGATGGCTGTCATGTCATCCATATATAAAGAACTTTCTGAATTTATATGTTGGACATTATGAATTGAATGATCACTCACTTCTTGAGAAAAATTCACATTGGAATGTAACTTTATATTAAAGACAATGCAAGGAAAAGTTGAGGAAAACCTCGATAAGTCTCAGTATTGACATATACGTCTACACAAGACTGTGCCGAGGAAAATAATGAGGTTTTTCGCATGTGAATTTGTGCAAGGAGGTGTGTTGCACTTCTATTGGTTTTTCAGCATGACATGTTATCATGCAATAGTGGAATTTCATGGGAATTTTAGGGGGGAGGGGAGTTTCACAAGGCTGGTGGCATGCAAGTCTCTTAGGCAAAATAGTGCGACTTCAAGAAAAAATAGCTGACCTGTGTATGGAGGTGAGTAATCATATCGAAATTTACATGCTCTTGGCCATACATATTCTTCAGCTTTACCAAAGTCTCTTCTTCATAATCAATAAAATGACAGCTGAAATTTTCCAGCTCTTGAGACATGATGGCTAAGTTAGCTAAACTATCTGCCTGGTAAAAAATGTTGGAAATTAGTTTATCTAATTTATCCTACTATTATTAGTTTATCCTACTTTGTCTCTGTTTCAAACGTTCACAAGAATTTTGAACTTCAATAAAAAAAATTCTCTAGTTAAACAGCTTATCATAGAGGATAATATATGTTTGTAATGTATAAAGATAACTTACAGACAAATAACGGAATCTGCAAGTTTATTATATTGGTACAAAAAACGTTATCAGATGAAACAATTCATTAGAATTCTACTATGCTGGCAAACGTCAAATTGCATTATTGTTAGATAGTTAAAAATATAATAGAGTAATTGTCTGTATGTGCTACAGTCCAAACATGGCTTAGTGATTAGAATAGCCAAGCTTTGACTCCAGCAGTTTATGGTTTTGCTACCCATTGCCACAAAAAAAAACATTATTTTTAAAACTATTACACAAAATGCTCCACTCTTTGATGTCTTATGTGTGCTATAAGATAGATAATCAAATCCTATTATTTGATCAGAAAAGTGTGGCCCAATAGTTGTCAGTTGGCACTGTTGTCTAGCTGCCTTCTCTCTCTAGTCATCACTTCAAAATTTAAGAAGGTTACGTGCATCTAGCCCTCCCAAATTTTTGCACAAAAATTCTGAAAAAAACAACAACAATCTTTGTGCTACAACTCATTAGACATCATAGAAGATGACTGTGAATCAAAATTAATGTGAATCATAAGCCATACAATAATAAAAATTTATTATACATGCTGAATATTGTCTTACCTGCCACTTCGTGGCCATAGACTTTTTCCTGCATCTTTACCAGCTGGACGAAGGGAACCTCCACTCTAAAATAACATAAGTTTATTTTTATAGTTAGATTTATATTAAAAACTAGAATGAATTTACATAAAATAATTTTCTTCAATGGTTGTTTAAAATTTGCCTTCCATGACATGGTAATATTTTAGGCAAAGTGAAGGAGAATATTGTTTAGACACATAGCAAAACGGCAGAAATTACATAAATCTAACGATTAATATAATTGCAGTCCTGATATTTATGCAAAACCAATGAAGATTTAATCAGTACCAATTAAAACGTATATTCAAAAGTAAAGAATATCTCGTTTGTATACAATAAAATCATTTATAAAAGAAACCAAGGCAAATCTGGTCAATATAATTTAAAATATTCGTTCAAAAATAAAGGATTTTCAGTCAATATAACTTTAAAATGTTTATATAGAAGTAGTTAACATCTGCTTGTGTAACTTGGGAAAATCTATAAAATAAATCAATAAGATCTTCACATGTACCTGAGAGGTGTGTATAACAAATCAGAGAAGATCTCTCCAATGTAGTACAGATAAAATATTTCATCAATCAACTAAAATATTTTAATGTATTTAAAACAAATGATTGCAACAATCAATAAAAACAGTGGAATGGATAACGTTAGAGACATGTACATCTTGAATATTAATCAAAGTTCGAATTGTTCAACAATAATCAATGGAAGAAAAGAGAACAGTATCATAGCAATGTAATAAATATACAATGAAGCATGTGGGAAATCAGTACAAGTTTAAGGTTATATAACAACCACAAATCTGATGACAAACTAAATGCATACTCTGACACATTATGTATTTCCCTCAGGAGCACGACTCATCCAGTGATGATTCACCTTCCAGCAAAAAGAATGACCCTAACATGGTAAAATGACGGCTTCACTTACAAAGGCCGATCCATTACTCACGACCATAGTTTTGTCTGCATAAACTACCGATAAGAGCACTCTTGTGGATGTATGGGCTTATATAAAAACTAAGAAAGTCAAAAGGCAAGCAAACAACATGGCTGAGTTGTGGGGAGTGATACATAAAATTAAATTGTAACACTCTGTGTAAAGGAAAGGATTTACATACAGAATTCGAGTGAATTGTACAAATTATGTGGGTTTTGTATTTCCCGTGATAATGTTTTGTACCATTGATAAATTCAATATCTAATTGTCATTACTTCTTTTTTTAAGGCTTTTGTATGTTTATCGCTATCTTGTTTCCATGGTTTAGGTGTTATTTTTGTTCGTTACAACAACATTATGCTAAGTACACAGTTATTGTTGTTTTTTATCATGAAAACACTTCTACAAAGCTGTACGGAAATGCACAATTTATAATATCCAGTAATCGTTATTTTACCTTCTACTCTTTTTTTAAAGGAATCATGCCAAGTAAACATTTTTACAGGGGTATTTAGCCTGTTTCGAAGTGTATATATATATTTATATACATGTATATACAAACCTTTTTCACGCATACTTATAACTAGAGATCGGTCCCAAATTGAAAATGAAACAAAATATTCTAACGATAAAAAAACGAATATTTAAAATTCTAAAGTTGGTCGTTTGTTTACTTAGAAAAATTTTTACATTATATTACAGTTTTTTGTTGTTGTTGTTTTAACGGGCAAATATGTTGGCTTGGCAGTAATTTTATTATAATACGTATTTGAATATTTTACTGAACACGATAGGTATAAAAATATTAGTGTTGGTTATACCCTTGGTGAATATTTTACTGAACACTATAGGTATAAGAATATTAGTGTTGGTTCTACCCTTGGTGAATATTTTACTGAACACGATAGGTATAAGAATATTAGTGTTGGTTCTACCCTTGGTGAATATTTTACTGAACACGATAGGTATAAGAATATTAGTGTTGGTTCTACCCTTGGTGAATATTTTACTGAACACTATAGGTATAAAAATATTAGTGTTGGTTCTACCCTTGGTTACTAATTGTAAAATATGATCCAGCCTGATAGCTTGGATCAAAAAGAAAAACGACTTTAACCAAAACACTGAAATATCTAATAAAGCAGCATTTATAGTTAATATTCCTTTTTTCTTACTTTCACTGTCCAAGAACTGCTAATATTTACATTTACTGAATAAATGCTGGAAAGTTACCTACGGCTTAAATTTTTCTGTATAATTATAGAGCAAGTTCAATACAACAATCTTTGACTTATATTTAATTTGCTTAAAATGTATATTTAATACTCTTGATCGCCTTTTTAACAC